GCCTGCATGTACATCATGCATAGATGTGAATGGTGCTACATGTAAAACATATCTATAGTGCATTTCTATGGATTTTAAAGTTTGCACAAAAACACATGTACAAATAAATACAAATACACCCTAACACAAATTGAATGTATCACAATGTATAGGAAAAGACAAACAAAATGGCTTAAAATTATTCTTTCACAATCTCCCTTTCATTTTTTTCCTGATGATAGAAACATCATTCAGAGCATTTTGCACCATGTGCGTTCTTTAGGTAGAACATAATATTGCTGACCTCTGCTGGTAAACGAATTAATTGCAGCTCATCTCCACGCAGACAGGGCTTAGTGATGAGAAACCTTTATATTTTGTACATAGTTAAAGTAAAGTGCAAGTAAACTCTTAAAAATGAACTTCTCTTATATTCTCCCTTTTGGTCTGTAAATTATATCACTAAAAGTGTGTTGTTAAATTTGTTCGATAGGTGAAAAAAATACCAGTTGATTTTATCAGAAACATTGTGAGGTCATAGGTTTCTGTACTCTCTGGGTTATTCGACTAATCCTTTGGCTCGCTTCGGCTGCAGAGACCCTTCGGTTCAGCCGAACATAAAAGCTGCTGTACACGCTTTTCTCAACAGCGCCTAGAGCAGTAGGGTTGCCACCTTTTCTTCAAGCGAAACCCGAACACTCTAGCGATGCACGGACATCTTTTTGGGAGAACGAGTCGTAGCTTATTCATATGTAAATAGCGCCACCCATTCATATGTAAATATCACAGTTGAGACTATTTTCAGTGGGGGGGGCCAGTAGCCCCTATCTTAAGTTTGGTTGCCCCTGTCTGCCTGACATCATATGTCCGGGTTCCTGCTGCCATGAAACCCAGACACAGCATTCAAAACCCGGACTGTCCGGGTGAATCCTGGGCAGGTCGCAACCATATAGAGCAGCCAAAGGCAGCGAAAGTAAACAGCCAAGCTGAACACACATGCAACCTGTTTTCCAGGGGGTGCAATGACAACCTCCATATTTCACTCAGTACAGGCTATACAGGTTCATACCCTTTCCTGAGGGACTGATCCTGCAGACTCAACACAAGTCTGTGTTCCAGTTAGACATGTGCGATTCGGTTCGTTACGAATCGAATTTCGTACGAATTTTCCTGAAATTCGTAAATTCAGCGCACAAGTCTAGTTCCAGTTGGGACAACTTGACAATGGATGCCACTGGCCTGAGGTTTGGTAGTGGAATATAATTTTACTGTATATGTATAGTACATGTGTACTATATATACATAGCAAGAGAGAGAGAGCTCCAAATGGAGAGCTTTCCAGCAACTCAGTCCACTTAGAGTCTCCACCACTTGCCAATTTTGAGGAGAGGGAGCCTGTGTCCTGTGATGTACTCCAAGAAAAGTATTTTATAGGTAAGACAAAAATCCTATTTTCTTAATCATACATTACAGGACACAAGCTTGAGAACAGAGCCTGCGAAACAGCAAGTAGCACGGGTGCCAGTGGATGGGGCAACACCGTGCCAGGCAGAAGTCCAGAATCAGATCGGGTAGAGCAGAGCCGAGGTCACACCAGGCGGGCAGCAGGATACCAGAGCAAAAGGCACAATTGAGGTCAGGCAAGCCAGGGGTTACACCAGTCGGGCAGCAAAGTACAAGTGATGAGTCAGAGGCAAAGTCCAGTAACAATTCCAAGGTAAATAGGCAGGCAGCAATCAGGAGCAGTCAGGTTCAATCTGGGTCCAGACACAGGAGGAGTAATCAGCAGAACAAACAGGATCACAGGGACAAGCTGAAAGAACAGCAACCAGCAACTAAGCCAAGGCTGTGCTTGCTTTAAATAGGAAGATCAATTCAGAGGTACTGCATCACTTCCTGTCTGTCAGATTAGCACGTCTGTGCGCCAGATTAGCGTGCGTGCACGTCCTGATGCGCACGCATGTGCGCAAGTGCCCGTTTTCCTATGATACGAAAAACGGGACTACGAACATGCGCAATAGACCTGGATAACTTACATATCGGGTCATCCGTAGCTGGAACGTTATCCTTTAAACCGTATGCTTAAATCATGAATCGCCTAATCCACCTAAAGATAGTGGAGCGAGAGGCAGAGTGTCCCCTTTGAGGACCATTAGGAATGACAAAGTGTGAATCCAACTGTTCAAAAGAAGCTGTAGCTCAGAGACAGACTCTAACAATGCAAACCCTGTTGAGACAGTGGAGAGAAAGTTCCCTAAGATATATAGCAGCAGAGCAAAGAGAAGGAAGTATAATGTCCTGGTTAAGGTGGCAGGACAATGTCTGAGGAAGAAAGGAGGCCTCAAAACAACCATATTCCTGTGTAGCACAAGGAAGAGCTCCTTGCACGATAAGGTTATCAAGTCAGACACTCTCTTTGCAAAAGTGATAGCAACTATAAAGACAACCTTATGAGTGAGAAAAGACAAGGGGATATCTAAGGGTGATTTTTGTGAAGCCAACAGAACCAGGTTGGGATCCCATGGAGCCACTAGATAAGGCATGATGTGAGCAGCAGTCTGCATGAATGCTTTCACCAAGTAGATAGAGGCAACATATCTTTGTAAAAGAATGGCTAAGGCCAAAACCTAACCCATGAGTCAGGGCCGGCCTTTGGGGTGTGCTTGCTCTGCGGCCGCACAGGACGCCATTGCAACATGGGCGCCAGGCGACCGACACAGATTCTGTCCCCAAAGGTCGGTCCTGAGTGTCCCCGAGTTGCAATCTTGCTGACACTGACTGAAGAGATCGCCCGCGGGTGTTGGACTGAATCACTATGTCAGCTCAGCACTGACCCTGGCTGCAGTCTGTGCATTACTCATTAAGATGGCCAACGCTCGGCGACAGCGCGGTGGCCATTTTTAAAACTGGAAGAAGTACTGGCAGGCGGCTTCTGCAGGAAAGACGACGTGGGCAGCTGTCCCTGCCCTGCCAGACCTCAGAGCAGTGATGAGGAGCTCATGGAGCATGCGCACTGAGAAAAGAAAGGAGGGGAAGAATCCGCAGAAGCGGGCAGCAGATTAAAAAACTGTTTTCTGTAAGTAAATATTTTTTTTATAAATGCAGTGTACTGTTTAATATCTGTTTTTGCTTTTATTATTTAAATAGGGTATTTCTTAAAGGAACAGTAAATAAAAAAGTAAAAAAATGCTTTATTGTAATTATGTATGATATTTGATAGTAAATTTACAGGTAGCGTTATTATACCATGTGATATACAGTATAGGTAGCGTTATTATACCGTGTGATATACAGTATAGGTGGCGTTATTATACCGTGTGATATACAGTATAGGTAGCGTTATTATACCGTGTGATATACAGTATAGGTGTCGTTATTATACCGTGTGATATACAGTATAGGTAGCATTATTATACCGTGTGATATACAGTATAGGTAGCGTTATTATAACGTGGCGTTATTATAACGTGTGATATACAGTATAGGTAGCGTTATTATACCGTGTGATATACAGTATAGGTGGCGTTATTATAACGTGTGATATACAGTATAGGTAGCGTTATTATACCGTGTGATATACAGTATAGGTAGCGATATTATATTGTGTGAATAAAAGTTTTATTTTTATCATAGCTTGTAATTTGTTTTTTGGGGACTTAATGGAATGGGAGGCTCTAAATGGAGGCGGTATCGGAAAAATGGGTGTGGCCACTGAAAGGGTGTGGTTACTGAGGGGTGCGGTTACTGGGGACCGCTGTAAAGCTTTCTCGCACAGGGCGCCTAAAGGCCTAAGGCCGGACCTGCCTTGAGTGTATTCAAGACCAGCCACTGGTCAACACAGAATCCGCCCTTTGGGAAAACTTTCTGGTATGAAAGTCCCTGTCCTTGCACTAGAAGTAGGCTTTCTAAGCGTGATGATAGACTTTTTGAGAAATTAATTTTGTGACCTGCTTCTGAGTCTAGTAGCGTCCTGTTCTCAAGACCTGGGCTTCAACAGCCAAGCAGTTAAAGCCAGGAACTGAGAAGCAGGATCGTAAGCAGGTCCTTGAGATAGAAGTTTGGACGATTCAGGAAGGTCCATAGAGAGTCTGTCAGGAACCTCATAACTGCAAAGTATGATGGCCTCTACCAACAATTCTGCACAATAAGGATCACTGAAATGTCCTCCATTTTGAGAATGCAGAGCAGGTGAGGGAGAAATTTCAGTGGGGGCAAGGCATAGATCAGGGTGAGCGGATCCCACAGAGTCACCAAAGCCTCCACTACGAAGATTCTTGGTCCTAGAGACAAATTTGTCCAGCTCGTTGTTGAATCTTGAGGCCAATGTGCAATGCAAATGTGGTGCCATTACTTGTTAATGTCACCCCAAATGCGGACGGTAAAACGTAACCCCCCCACTGGACACGCATCAACTGCGCACAAACGAGTGGTAAAAAAACATGGGAAGCTTGCAGTTAAGAATGCTGCATGAGCTCATTTACCTTGTTGTTGCACGTGCAGCAGCCCATTGAAATGAATTGGCTGACACATGGCAACAGCTAAGGGGTTGCCATCTGTCCAGGATTTGAATGCTGCGTCCGGGTTTCATGGCAGCTGAAACCCGGACACAAGATGTCAGGCAGACAGGGGCAACCAAAATTAGGATAGAAACGTACTTGAACGCATGTGAACTTGCGCAAATGCGATCGTGTGTTCACACACTGCAAAATGTGACCGGGACCTTAAAGTATCAAAAATTGTGGCAGGGAATGGTGGTACAATCCCATTAACGGAATATGTCATAAAATCTATCATCTATCTATCTATCTATCTATCTATCTATCTATCTATCTATCTATCTATCTATCTATCTATCTATCTATATGTATAGTACATTGATTACTATTTAAATCACAGAAGGGCAACTTGCCCAAATCAAACATGGCGCCTGGAGTTTCTCCGTCAGCACGTGATTACCCGGAATGCTTTGTGGCAGCTCAGTCTCTTTAGTGCGGCCTGTAAACAGCTGAGGCCGCTTCTCTGTTTCCGCGTGTGAAGTTTGCACGGGGACCGGACTAAGCCGCCAACATGGTGAAGCCAGGATTTAAGGGACGGAGCACCATCAACCCGTCCACTTCCAGCTCTAACCCAGGTGTGTGAGCCCCCTGGGGGGACGAGGGGAGACGTTTCCTGACACGGACACATGGGGCGAAATGTGCCAGTGCTCTCAGCAGAATGCTATGAAGGTGTCCATAAGTAAGGGAGATTGAGAGTTGTGTTTAGATTGGGACATGTCAGTATGTTGGTAGCTTGCAGCATCTGTGGAGAAGATTTGGTGGAGTTTATTTTTCCTGTTTGTCTCCCTTATTTTCCCTTGGTGACAATGGTGGCAGAAAATGTAGATCTGATCCTACAGCTATCACCCCAGGGCTCTGTATACAACAAACACATTTCTGGCACCAGCTGAGATCTTCCTGATTCCTGGAGCCAGAAGGAAGTAGTTTTGCCATCTGTGTGATAACCGCAACAGGAAATGAGAGGAAATCCTGGTGGTCAGCAGGCTGTCCCCATTGGAGATTTCCAATTCCTGTTCCGGTGAAAGCAAACCTCTGGAATTTATATCAAGGGTGATATCCCTTACGGGGGCACAGCGTCGGGTACCTGACGCATGCTCTAATTGCCTCTCCATGCCATTCAGAACATAGAAATAAAGTTTTGCCTTCAGTTTTAAATCTTGCCTTCATATGTAAATCTACCTCTTGTTTTTGTGAGAACTCAAATGTTTGTAACATTATTGACTTTTATTTCTGATGACACTGATCACCAGGACAAAGAGAAGGTAAAGCTTCCAAGTGGAGACACAGATGGCAATAAAAACCAGACAGAAGTTCTGACTGCTCCCTATTCTTCCCTCAACAATAACCTACAAAAGTTTTGGCTAGGGATTTACTTTTACCATGGGCTTGTGTTGGGGTTTACCTTGCATTCTTTGGGCCTCATTCATGCCTTTCCAGTGTGTCGTGCTGTGTTTGAGCGATCATTACTGTAATGCACATTTTGAATGGCACCGCAGCACAGTTCAAACATACAGGCAATGTAGCCTACCTGGTCATGCAGAATCTGGGGTAACCGAATGTAAACAGACGTCCATCTGTTTACATCCAGCTGCCTGGTAAAGATGGAGGAAAAAACTACACGGATATCAATGGTGACATCTGTTCCAACCCGGAGGGGATTTGTGCACTGATCCCTCATGATCGGAGCATGTGAAAGGGGCATAACTCAACCCACCAGGACCATTATCTATATGGGCCGTCTCTCTCTTCACTGCTTCTCAGTTCCCACTGATTATAAGGTCTATTTGGCAAGTGATTTAACCTTTCAGGGCAAGGCAACAACCTCACTGTTATTCTGGCTCCTACTGCAGAGATCTGGAAGAAATACACAAAGCATACCAAGATTCAAGTTAGCACCCCCATGACTGTTGGCTTTAGACAATACAGGCAGTCCCCGAGTTACATACATCCGACTTACATACGGCTCCTACTTACAAAGAGAGGCTATTACTGTACAGCAGGGGTAGTTGTAATGCTACCACACTTGTGCTGACGAGGAGTGGCAGCCTTTTTGGGTCTGGTTTGTAGTACTGTACGTACATTACAGGAAGTTGGCTCTTGTTGGGGTGCCCGCCTCTTCTTCAGGGTCACTGTGAGGGTTTTACTGCTGTCTGTATCCTCATTAGAACGATTTAATCTTACTTCCTGTCCTTGAGACAACAGGAAGTGAAAATAAATCTACAACTAGGAAGGGAAATTCAATCCTGTAAGAGTGGTCATGGAAAAAAGGTGTCTCCACTGAATCTTTATCACCAATCCTTGTTTCCATGACAACCCCAAGTTTTCAAAATCCAATTGTCACAGGGACAGAAAGTGAGGTGATATCTTCTGAACAGGAGCACACACAGCAAAACAAACTTTACAGGGGGTAAACCCTTCCCTATGCTATCCAAAACAAAAACATTTTTGGCTGGAGTTACACTTAAAAAATGTACCTGTTCCAACTTGCATATAAATTCAACTTAAGGCCAAACCTATAGTCCCTATGTTGTTCGTAAACCGGGGACTGCCTGTATATGTTTAGCCTGGAATTCAGTTTGAAACAAATGGCTTTATAATATTGGTATGTATTTGTGTTGTATACCAGCATTAAAAGGTCCATATGCCGTAAAAACTGTCCGAACCTCTACGCCCAGGAGCGTAGTGTTGGGTGCACCTGAACCTGCAGGAATTGACAATCTCGGATCAGTGTTTACCAGTGTACAGCCATAGCCTGCCATTGACAAGCTGCACACTGCAACTGTGGTTCCTGGGTGCAGAGATCTGGATGTTTTTTTAAGGTACACAGACCTGTGCATCCAAGGTACACAGACCTGTGCATACAAGTCAATAAGTCCTAAAGTGTAACTCCACTTTAAGGGAAAACATTATTACATTTTTTTTCCTTTTATAGAACAACTCCGGGAGAACATTTTACTAACCCTTGCAGTGAGGCTACCACCCCAGTACAAGGGTTAACTGCTCGCTTTCATCTAGGGGATAAAATAAAAAATGATACTCGCCTGTACCCTGCTGTCACAGCGCTCCCTTCAGCCTGTCTACTTGTCCGCTGCAGCGATGGTATGCCCCTTGGCATCCTCACACCCTATACACTGTGTATAGGACGTGATGACTCGGGGACCTTAGATCGCTGCAGTGGAGGGGGAGAGAGAGGCTCCAGAGACAGATCTAACAACAAGCTGGCTCGGAGGATCAAGTGAGGTATAACTTTTTTCTTTAGTCCCTAGACCAAAACAAGCAGTTAACCCTTTTCTCCTGGAGTTATTTCTTGTATTTTGTATTTCAGTACCCTAGAAATAGTAAAGCCGTTATACTTTTACCTCTTATATGCAACGAAAAAAATGTGGTTATTGGCAGCTGCTTTTCTGCCAGTTTCTACCTAATGGTGAGGTCTGCACATTACCCCACAGTGGAAGGGTTTACCTTTTTGTGTGGCTTGGGACCTGAGTATATGGTACTCGGTCACTCTACTGGAAGCCAGCCCTGTCAGTCATTCCATACCCATTGTGTCAAGGCTGACCACTGTTAAAGATGACAAAATAGTACTTGGTACTGTGGTAAATCAGTTTCAAGCAGTAGAGTATAAACCGCTTATGTCAGATTTGTGTAATGTCAATAACCCCTGTTTAATATTTTTGACGACAGATCGAATGAAGGGTGCTGGAGGCAACAATATGAGAGACCGGGCAACCATCAAGCGCCTCAATATGTATCGCCAGAAAGAACGGCGGTAAGTTTAAGTATATTTTGATGTAATTCTTCTTCGTACAGGCTCATCTTCAAAAAAACTATTTGGCTACTCTTTGTTAAAGGGCACTAGCATCTTCTATTTTTATAATACTGCTATGTTCCTTGTCTGCACAGTATTATTGCCATTTAATTCCAAAGGGAAACTCCACCTAATAAAAATTGTAGAAATTAAAAGAGAACTATGTGGTAACGTTTTTATCCCATAGTTCTCTTTTGGGTCACGGTAGGACATATACTAACATCATCCCGTGACCCAAAACTCAGTATATAGTGGGCTATTGCCCGCAATATGCTGAGAGTGCCACAGCCGGGACAGATCCTAACATTACTGTCGAGATCCTCTCCGCTGGCTGATTGACAGGGGCGAGGATAATCCCTGTGGGGAACAGTGACTGACAGTCACTGCTCTCTGCAGGGAAATGATCGGGAAGTGGGTGAGCGGCGATGTGTCTTTGCCCACTTCCTGATCAATAGAGCTCACAATTGACAGTTTGTGTCTCACGTTAGCTCTAACTATGGGGCTAAGTGTAATTCACTCACCCCATAGTTCTCCTTTTAATATAGCATATATAACTGCTAGACAAACTATTTTGTAATCTAATGTTATTAAAAATGACCTTTTCTAAACTTGTCCAAAAATATAATAATTCAATGCAATATGGCGACCTGGGGGTGTTCTCTACACAGTTGGTGTACGAATTGCCCCCAGAAATGTCGCTTCCTGCTTCTGTGATTAGCTGACTGATTTTCCCAGAAGTCTGCACTAAAATACTAGTACAATTTTTGGCTTCCCATGCAATAGGAATTTAATTTTTGGTGGGATACTCCCTAAGGGTTAATTAATACTAAAAGGATGCGGACACAGCAACTTTTCCTCATAACACAGAAAGCCCACCAGCTGATTATAATGAACCCAGACCCTCCCATTCAGAAATCCGTTTGGGAAGGACATACTGCAACAAACAGGCTTTTCTTCAGAACATAAACAGATGGAGATTTTACAACATTTTGCAAATCCTTTCAGTGTACATTGATCAGCTAGAGAGCTTGTTTTTTTTTTTCCTCAACAAAATTGTACTTGCACTTTAACAGGTAAGACGGCAATTAGAGCGTTTGAGAGGTAGTGGATTATCACGGCCCCTCAGTATTTTTCCATAAGATGGGGACAGGTGGTGGACTACTGAATTTTTGACTGTTCTTTTGTTGGTTACACCTAGAGCATGTTGCAGCAGCATGTTCTCTACATTTGGCTTACCTGGACCTCTATGACACAAAGGGGATTGCTCAGAATGATTTGTCACAGCAATGTGATTCATCTGAATCCAAAGCTGCAGTTTTTGTCCAGTATTTGAAGGCACACATGCTGTCCAGAGTTTGGTCTCATGTCCATTTCCATTCATGTTCCTGTTGAATACTAGAGTAGGCACCTGTCTGCTATTCTTAGCTGGGGATCTACTTATACATTGGGTTCAAGAGATTTCAGTGCCTCATCTGAGGAATTGCCCCAAAACCTATTAATATAATGCAGCTATCCGTATTAGTCCTTGTATAGAGGAGATTTCTATTCTAATTTAGTCAGGATTCCCTACTTGAATGCTTGTCACAGGTGCATGACTCACATGGTAGGGAAGCCTGGATCAGAATGACAACCCTACAAGCAGGGGTGTGGGATTCCTATCGCCCGGCGCCCGGGACATGCAGTTTTCGGGCGCCGGGCGAGTAGTTTTAAAGTACATTCAGCCCGGCTCCGGACAAGCAGAGCTGAATGTACATTGTGGAGCCGCCGCTCGTTTAATACAAGTGGTCTGATCAGACCACTTGTATTAATTTGAGCAGCGGCGATCGTTTTCTGCCCGCACCCCCCGTCGTGGTTTTTTCTGGGTCGCCCGCACACCCGGGGGACCCCGAAAACTAAGGCACAACGGCTCAGCCATAGAGCAGACGAAAAAACGTCTGCTCTACGGGCACTCTGTGTGTTCTCTGAGATCGTGGCGCTGTAATCACAGCGCCACCTGTCTCGGCTGTTGGGAACTACACAGAACTCCTGTTCTGTGTTGGAGGGCAAGTTCCATAAAGAGAACCTGTCACCTCCAAACTATCACATAAGGGATTTTAATCTCCTATGTAATAGGAAGAACATTAAGGGGAAAAAGTAAATAAATAAAAAGTTAAAGAAAATTTAAAACGTTAAAAAAATAAAATATATAAAGATTTACAAAATGAAAAAGTAAATAAAAATGAAACCCTGCTGCCCCCGCCATCTGCATGCAAATAAGTATGGGTGTACTATCTGTCCCCCGTACTGCTGTCCAGCGCAGTCCTCCCCTATGCATTTTGAATTTCGCTCGCAAATTGCAAGCACTCATTGGTCAACGTTTTCAGATGACTACGCTGACCAGTGAGAAGCGCTATTTAGCACAGTAAAATATGTTTTGATTAGGGGTGCACCGATACTAGTATCAGTGCTGATACAGAGTATTAGGGCAAGTACTCGTACTCACCCAAATGCTCCGATACCTTCCCCGATATTGGAACTTACGTTGAGATAAAAATTTCCTGACTGGCAGTGCCGTAGGGGAACATGGAGCCAGCTTCCAGTGCAATCAGGAAGCCGTGCGGCAAGTAATGACCTGCCTCCTGGTTTTCCCGGTCAATCAAGCCAATTTCCCGGTCAATCAGGTCATTACTCGCCACCCGGCTTCCTGATTGACCGGGAAGGAGGTTTCCTGGCCAATCGCAATCAAGCAGGCCAAACAACATGGAGCCGGCTTCTGTGGCAATCAGGAACCTGGGTGGGATGTCATTACCCTCTGTCCGGTTTCCTGATTACTAGGGAAGCCTGCTCCATGCCAGCGGAAGCACCGGTATTAGTATTCAGTGTCGGCGAGATCCGAACGCAAAAAATCGGTAATCGATACCGAAAAACCGGTATTGGTGCATCTTTAGTTTTGATCCCTTCATTACTGAGGCCCTTTTTTCATTTTTTGCACCCATGTTCCACATTTTAGGCCTGAAAATGACGTAAAACCCCCCAACATTATATATTTTCTGAATGCCAAGACCCTATAGAATAAAATGGTGGTAGGTGGTACTCTGCTACGGTGGGTCGGCTGCGACGGGTGGTCCTCACCGACGCCTATGGGATTCGTCCCGGGGGGGGGCTTCTGACCGGGAAAGAAAAAAAGAAAAACACTGCGGATGGCGCCGCCAAATACAGATAATTGCAGAAACGTCACCAGCACACCAAATCCTTATAGGATCAAAGTTCGTAGATTTTATTGCAAACTCATGTCAGTTACACAAGCACTTTCGGGGCCACACAGGGTCCCTTCATCAGGCATAGCAATGACACAATGATAAGAACAGAGAGGGTTTAAATAGACATAAAGCAGTGCAGACACACCCTTGGACACACCCCTGACGTCACATGACGTCAAAAAAACCAAACAGCTGTGAACAATGGAGTCATTAGAAAGACAAGCTTCTATTCACCAATTTCAAGTGAAAGAGAAACCTAAGTATTGTTGCAAATTAATCATATCAAACCACATTATGTAAAGCATACACTTATACCAGGGAAAAAGGGGTTATGTAAACAATCCAACATGTGCAGTGATTACCATAACTTTGCGAATGCAGATGCCGGGTTGCCATAGCGACAGGACACCGAGGTTCAGTGAGAGCAGAGGGACAGTCCACTGGCGCACGCGCATACTCGAGGCCCCGGTCTGGTTGAGGCCTACGGGCGGCTCTGTGGCCGCCGTCCTGGCTCGTTTCAGCCCCTGTTGGGGCTCATGGGGTGGAGGATTGGCCTGTTGTAGGTCCGCTGCGGCCGCCTGTGCAGGGCAGCCGCATCCGCTCCCCACGACGTCACCTCATCCTGATGCGGGGGATTCCTCACATCCTCATCCGACCAGTGAGGATGAGGCTGCGTCTACGCTCCTGGTCCAGGAACGTGAAATGGTCTCGGGCGCTAGTCCGCGCTGTCAGGGAGACCCTTAAAATTGAGGACGTTGCCAGCACTTCCACGCTGCCGCACGTGCAGTTTGGGACGCGTATGTGTCTGCGTTCTGCCAAGGTGTTTCCTTACATCCCCTTTATGAGGGGTGGAAACGGCCTACTAAGTCCTCTGTGGTCCCTAAGCGGTTCTCTACCCCTTAGAGGGGGCCTTTGTGTCTAAGTGGTCTTCCCACGCCGGGGGTGGATCCACCGGTCTCTTGTTTGAACAAGGCCACGGTTCTTCCGGTGGAGGATTCTCCGTCCTTTAAGGACCCTTCAGATAGGAAGGCTGCAACGCTTTTGCGGTCTCTGTACTCTGTCTCGGCGCTCTCATGCGTCCGGTCTTGGCTTTGGTCTCTCAGACTCTAACTGAGTGGGCTAGGATGTTACATCAGGGTCTTGCGGTGGAGAGTGTCTCCCCCGCTTTCGTGGCATTAGCGGATCAGTGGTGCAAGGCCTTCGTTATGTCTGCAATTCGGCCTTGGTTGCGGCGCCCTTGGTGTCCAGGGTGTTGGTGTCGGCAGTGACGCATCGCTGTTTGCTCTGGCTTACGTGCTGGTCGGCTACTCAGGCTTCCACGGAGGCTCTACAGGAGTTGTCCTTTCCTGGGGACCATCTGTTTGGTTCCACCTTTGGGTGTGGTCCCTAAGGTTCTGACCGTAAGAGTACCTTCCTTACCCAGGCGCGCAAGAAGGGACAGCGCTGGAAGCCTGGGCCTACTTTCTCCGCTCGCAAGCGGCTTTTTCGCCCGCCCTCCGACTAGGGCAGTAAGTTTAACAAATCCTCCTCTTTCCAAGCGTCCATGGCAGCCCACGTCTGCCGAGCCCCAGTCTGCATGAAGGTCGGGCTCTGGTTCCCGGGGGGGGGGCGCCTTCGGCTCTTTGCGGATTTTTGGCTGGCCCACGTCGACGACTCTTGGGTCCGGGAGCTGGTTTCTTCGGGCTACATGCTCATGTTTCTGTCCCGTCCGGGAGACCGGTTCTTCCTGTCCAACACGCGACTCTCCTTCGCCGGTTCCGTCCTCGGAAAGGTTCAAAGGGTTTTATTCAGACGTGTTTACTGTGCCCACGAAAGTGGGGGTGCGGCCCATCCTGCACCTCAAATGCTTGAGCACCTTCGTGCGGGTCCGTCGGTGTCCGGATGGAGTCGGTCCGGTCCGTGGTGACCTGCCTCCATAGATATCCGGGTTGCATACCTTCATGTACCCGTTTGCGAGTCTCATCAGCAGTGTCTTCGTTTCGCGGTGGGGGTGGACCATTTTTCAGTTTGTGGCCCTGCCCTTTGGGCTGGCGTCGGCCCCACGGGTGTTCACCAAGGTGCTCGTCCCGATCCTGGCGCTGTTTCGATCGTGGGGTGCCTGGACGATCTGCTCCTACGGGCGAGGTCTCATTCTTCTATGGTGACGGCTCTGGAGGTCGCGGTGCGGTCCTTGGAGAAGTTCGGGTGGCTTCTGTACCTGTGAAAGTCTTGCCTGGTGCCTTCTACACGCCTGGAGTTTCTGGGTTTGGTTCTGGACACTGTCGCGGCCCGGGTCTTTCTTCCTCGGGACAGGCTCCTGAAGCTCCGTTCCACGGTCCGGCTACTGAGGACTCGCCTGTGGTCGCCCATTCAGCTTTGCATGCAGGTCCTGGGTCTCATGGTGGCCTCCTTCGAGGCAGTGTCCTTTGCGCAACATCATACCGGGACCCTGCAGCGGAACATCCTAGTACAGTGGGACAAGTCCTCCCTGTCCTTGGACAGGGAGATTCGGATCTCTCGGGAGGCGAGGGCCTCCCTGTGGTGGTGGCCTCAATCTCCGGCCTTGGTGCAGGGGAAGTCTTTCCTTCCCGTGAATTGGACGGTGTTCACCACGGACGCCAGCCTTTGGGGCTGGGGCGGGGTCCTGGGCTCCGTGACCGTGCAGGGTCGTTGGTCGCCGCAGGAGTCCCGACGGTCGATATGTGTTGGAACTTCGTGTGATTCGCCTCTTTCTCCTTCATTGGTCGGCCCGGCTCCGGGGTCTGGCGGCCCGGGTCCTGTCGGATAGCGCCACTGCAGTGGCGTACCTCACCCACCTGGGCGGTACGAAGAGCGGGGTCGCGAGGTGTTTGGGATTCTCTCCTGGGCGGACCATCGAGTCCTGGCTCTCTCGGCGGTCTACGTCCCGGGGGTGGACGATTGGCGGCCGATTGCCTCTGTCGACAGTCGGGGGATCCGGGGGAGTGGTCTCTGCACCCGGAGGTTTTTCAGCAGCTCTGTTGTCGCTGGGGGTGGATCTTCTGGCGTCTCGGTTCAACCGGAAGGAGGACAGGGTTGTGGCCCGGGCCCTGGATCCCTGGGCCCCTGGGCGGAGGCCATGGATGCCCTGGTGGCTCCTTGGGATTACGGTTTGGTTTCCACCTTTCCCCCTCTGTATCTGTGGCCCCGGCTTCTGCGTTGGATCGCGGCCGAGGGCGCCACCGCCATCCTCGTGGTCCCTGACTGGACTCGGAGGGTGTGGTACACGGACGTGGTTCAGCTGGGGGTGGCCACCCCGTGGCGGCTGCCTTTGTGCCTCGATCGTCTGTCCCAGGGACCTGTGTTCCATCCTTCTTAGTCGCTGGCTTTGATGGCGTGGCTGTTGAGAGCCAGGTCCTGAAGGACCGGGGGTTTTCTGATGCGGTCATTTCCACTGTGCTCAGAGCGCGCAAAGCGGTTTCTGGAAAGATTTACCATGCACGTGGAGGGCATATTTTGCCTGGTGTGAGGCTGGGGACCTGTCCCCGCGTTTATTCTCCATCAGCTGAATCCCTGCATTCCTGCCGTGCGGGGTGGCTGGCCTTGAGTACTGTGAAGGGTCAAATCTCTGCCTTGGCGGTGCTTTTCCAGCGGCCTTTGGCGTCTAGTGCTCTGGTTGGCACCTTTGTTCAGGGGGTGACGCGCATTGCTCCCCCTGTCCGCTCGCCTTTGGCTCCGTGGGATCTGAATCTCGTGCTTTCAGTGTTGCAGGAATCCCCGTTTGAACCTCTTCAGGAGATTCCGCTTATGTCTTTGTCACAGAAAGTGGCCTTTTTGGTGGCCATCACTTCCGTTCGGTGGGTGTCGGAGCAAGTCCCCGTTGCTGGTTTTGCATTGGGACAAGGCGGTTCTCCGTCCTCGGCCGGCGTTCCTGCCGTAGGTTGTGTCGGCATTCCATCTGAATGAGGACATTGTCTTGCCTTCCCTGTGTCCGAAGCCGGTCCTTAGGAAGGAGCGTGCGCTCCACTGTTTGGATGTGGTTCGCGCTCTTCGTGTTTTCTTGGAAGCTATGGCTTCTTTCCACGAGACCGACTCCCTGTTCGTGCTCACGGAGGGCCCTCGTACGGGTCGGGCCGCGTCGGGGGCTACAATCTCTAGGTGGATGCGTAATGTTGTGATTCAGGCGTACGCCGTTAAGGGGCGTGAGCCTCCGTTTCCTGTCACTGCCCATTCTGCTAGGGCTGTTGGGGCTTCCTGGGCTTTCCGGCATGGGGCCTCTGTTTCTCGGGTTTGTAAGGCCGCTACTTGGTCTTCTGTTCACACCTTTGTGAAGTTTTACAAGGTGGATGTTTTGGCATCGGAGGATGCTGGTTTGGGGCGCAATGTGTTGCAGGCGGCTATTTGAGGTGTCTTTTGGGTGTTTGGTTGTTGTTGCCCATCCCTCAGTGTGTGTACTGCTGGGTGACGTCCCTACCATTCAGGATCTACAATCTGTTGCCATGTGTCCTTCAATGAACGGGAGAGAAAATAGGATTTTTGTATTCACCGTAAAATCCTTTTCTCTCCGTTCATTGAAGGACACAGGTCCCGCCCTCTTTTATGGGGTGTACACTCCTAACTGCTTGTTACTTGAGACTTGTCAGCAAGTGAGGGGTTGGGCCACCAGCAGGGGCCGCCCCTAGGCTGTCTTGTCTTTTTGTTATGTGCCTAGCGTCCTACTCCTGCAGGTGGCGATATACCCTACCATTCAGGATCTACGATCTGTTGCCCTGTGTCCTTCAATGAACGGAGAGAAAAGGATTTTACGGTGAGTACAAAAATCCTATTTTTTGTATTGGGACAAGTAGATTGTCGTGAAGGATAAGTAGATTTGGCCCCCACTTTAGCCCTTGGACAAGTAGTTTTAAAAAAAATGTCCACACCCCTGTACAAGTCAGGTTCACTTGTAACTGTTGAGTTACTTTGGAGCTGTTTAAGGTTTGGGTGACACAAAGGGTGTACATTTACCCACCAGGGGTGATTCTGTAGGTTGCTAGTGCTGATCTCTCCTTTTAAGACTGTTTAATAGCTGTCATGGTGCTGCATTTTGACAGGTCCTGGACTCTTCTACTCCCAGCTCTTCCCGTATTCACTAAAATGATTCACTTCTTTCAGTGTCCCAAAGCAAGTGAAGTAAAGGTCATATTTGTACAGTGCATGTTCTATAAAGCCATGCTGCTGCTTTATAATTGGGCCCAAAATTCTTTTATAGGAAAAACACGTATTCAAAACCCAGTTGTCTGGTAAATCTATCAAGGTGTGGTTCTTGTTATTTAATACAGGTATTTATATAGTGTGACAATTTATATAGTGATCTACATTGCTCTAAAGGAGCTTAGAATTTTAGGTTCCTTTGAACACATAACTAGGGCCAATTTAGACAGGAGACGGTTAACCTACCGGCATGTCTTCAGAGTGTAGGAGAAATCCAGAGTACCCGGAGGACTGCGAACACATGAAAAACATGCATTTTAGGATCCTGTAAAACAGTAGAATCTGTTTATAAACATTGGTTTTGTGCTTTAGGAACGATCGTGGGAAAGTGATTAAGCATCTACAATATCAGTCTTCGGTCCCATCAGGCACAGTGGCTCGAGTGGAGCCCAACATCAAATGGTTTGGTAAGTTTTGTTGTGAATCTTTTAGTGCCTTCTTCTGTTGTGGTTGGAGTGCACTTCATAGATAGGTTTGTCTTTTTGTATCTGTTGTTCAGTAGAGATTTTTGTTTGTTTTTAATCAGGAAATACCCGTGTGATTAAGCAATCATCTTTACAAAAGTTCCAGGAAGAGATGGAGGTTGTAATGAAAGACCCATATAAGGTGGTGATGAAGCAGAGCAAACTACCAATGTCTCTTCTGTATGATCGAAAGAAACCTCATGTAAGTTATTCAGCAGTTAGAAACAGAGCACACTTTAGATAAGAAATATTTCTGTTTGATGTGATTTTGTAATCCTCCATGCTTCTCGTAGAGCTGTTGTATGGTTTGTCCCTATTCTAGTCACACCACCTTGGTGATGTAAATTAACACATCTGTACTGTAAATGAATGTGCTTTAATACCCTCAATAAAAGAAAAGTATGCAAATACAATTTAGCTAGTAAATTCAATAGTGGATTAATTTGCACATAGAAAACCTAGAGTATAAAAATTGTTTTTATACTTTTTTGTAATTTTTGGTCCATATGTGACATTTAAAGGAGGACTATGGCGTCAGTGTTTTCCCCATAGTTCTCCTAAGGGTCATGGGAGGACACGAACTAGCATCCTCCTGTGACCCAAAGCTCAGTTGCGGTATACTGAGACCGCCGCAGCCGGGACGGAACCCGACATTACTGTTGACATCCACCCAGCTGCGTGATTGACAGCTGGCTCTGCCTATCCAGAGGCAGAGCCAGCTGTACCCGCCCCCTCCCCGTCCGTTCCGCCAGTCAGCGCTGAAGGATCGGGGAGGGAATTCCTGCAGGGAGCATTGATTGACAGTCACGGCTCTCTGCAGGGACATGATCGAGAAGTGAGCGAGCGACGCTATGTGTTCGCTCACTTCCCGATCTATTGAGCAGGCGTGTGACAGTTTCATTGGCGCACGTCGGCTCAAACTATGAGGAGAGTGATTTTCACTCACCTCATAGTTCTCCTTTTTAAGGTGCGTGAAAGCCTTTCCTCCAGTTTTTGACTGACAAGTCTAATTTCTATTGGCTGTAAAGGTGCGTATTGATCCAGGCCATGGTACATCTAGTAGTAGTCACATTCAACTGCTCTTGTCCTGTAATGCTGGATGTTTCGTAGCTTATTGAAGACGCTTCATAAGTTCATTTGAACTGAAGAAGTGGCTGCGATAAGGTACGAAACATCTTCAGCATTACAGAACAGGTCCTCTATCACCATATGGCAAACTAGTGTAATGTTTGGAGAACATACAGGGTGGAGACACCACCAGAAGCTCTAGCACTGGGGTCCTTTTATCAGGACTCCTTTTTTATAGCGGGTTGCACATGTCGTGTTTGCTTCCTTCCCTGGTGTAAGACCATGGTAATGGGAAGCCATCAAGCAGCACAGCTCTATTGTACTTCAGCAGAAAGCACACAAATATTCTATTACAGTACTATTTTTTTTTTTTTTTTCTCCATTTATTTACATAATGCATGCCAGGGTGCTGCACCAGGCATCCGTTTGAGAAAGGGTAGGATTTTTTCCATAATTTCACAAATATAGGCATGTGTCATTTGTAATATGACAAAGTACTGGACAAAAACTGCTGGAAGGAGTTTTCCTGCTCACGCACCATGAGCTCACGCTCTAGCAATGAAATCTGTAGAATGCGTTTTTAAAATATAGCCATATACATCATTACCCGCTCAGTAGTATTAATTTTGTTAATTAAACTCCCGAGCAAATGATTTTACTTTATAAATAGGAAACATCATCTGAAGTGGCAAATGAGTTATGCAAGCTTAGCGACTTGTCTTTCTGCTTAGGTTTGATTTTTTTTAAATTTTTTATTTTATTTTTTATAGCCAGATAGCATTTGTTTTTAGATTTATTAGACAAGAATAGTATTATTATACGGTCTAATAACGACATAAACCTGTTCTCAAGCTGGCTTCTTTCATCTTGTGTCAAATATTCACAACCTCTTCACATTCATCAGTTTTTAGGAACATAAAGTTCTATTGTGCATGCACGTCTAAGGCACTGGTTTGTTTGTTTTTTTCCCCCATTAGCCTAGTGCACATGTGTTTTATTAAATACTAAAGGGAAATGTTATCGCAGTGTAAAACCGCACAAACACAGGCTACGAGAAAAAATATTTTTGTTTGAAGAGTAAATTAGCACATGCCTTGTATCTAATTAGAGATGTCAGACCTGTGACATTCTCTCTTCAGTAGGATAATCGCCATGTTTTATTTTTTTTATTGGCCTGTGCTGTTTCAAATGAACATTGTTTTGATGGGAGAACCCTGGCAATGTAGAATTATCATGCTGGCGGAGTAAGTGTGTGAAATTGGCCTTAGTTTTCCCTTATGCTTTTTGTTTCATCATATTCCTTGGAAAATATCTTCAAAGAATTGAAGATGAACCCTAAAGGCATAGTCTGAGGCACAAATGTCCAGCACTTTCCAAAATAAATAGTGTGTAAGCAGGCTCCAAGAAAGCGCAGTGCATGCCGCTGGGTTTGATACAATTTGTTTCTTCTATAAGTAACCGTGTTTGAATGAAGCATACATGGATTAGTTGGATTGTTTCTACCAAATGAGCTTCTATCCTTATTGATTTTATGACTATATACATAGCAATTTTCTTTTTTAAATCTTTTAATATTTGTAAAAAAAGGAATTTACACAGAAATGTCTTAACAAATGTATGCAACTTGTGGAAGAACAGTGGGGAGACAATGTTTTTTTTAATCAGAAAATTTATTAAAGTTTAAAAAAAAAACAACAACAAAGACAGGACAAAAAAAAAATACAAACAGAAGAGGATAGTGGTCAACATGACCAGACAGAAAATACATGTGTACCCTACACAGTAACAGTAATATCACACATAATGTGGTCAAGAAACCGCAAAAGTAGTATATTGTTACCAAAATGGGAAAAAAAATACCAATCAAGGTTTAAAAATGTGTCTAG